CATTAAACTTCAATCACAAATTCTTTGCTTATTCCATCTGACGATGTTCCTAACAGAGGATATTCTGCTGTCTCTTTTCAACTACACATTAATACACAAAGCCAATAGCACCGTCACCATAACTGGCTCTCGCTGACCTAAAAATATATGAAACTATAAAACTGTTACCCTGCTACTAAAAATGTAATATAATAATGGGCCAAAGCTAAACCAATACAATAATTATGTCAATATTTCACTACCCACCTTTAGGTTTTGACTCCTCTTATTTCTGCACTTAAATAATCCGTATTTATGGCAAAAAACTCTCGCAACATCACATAATTTAGTTCAAGTAAATTTTCGCTGGAGGCTTTAATAAATCCACTATCCATCTTCTCACATAAACCAAACAAATAAACGGGTGAAATAAGTATTTATTTTTTATTTTATAAATCAACCAGGCTAGATAGGCGAAACAAAATAAGTGACATAACCTCTAAAAGAAGACAGGACATGGGCCAGTGGCAGGGCAGCCAACTAGACAACTAGGAAATTTTGTCAGTGATGCAAACTTAAATTTAGAAATACAGTGCGCAAGCTCGCCTTGTGACGTCATTATAATTTAAAAAATAACGAATAATAGTAAAATTTCAAATTGAAATATCTCCTTTAATATTATTCTAAAAAATACGGGAAAAAAATCAAGAATAGATTTTGATGTGCCTAATTCAATGAAAAAATCAAAAAAAATCATGAAACGACCCTATGGTAAGAGCTACAAGGTCGGTTAAATTAGAAAAAAGTTGCCTTTTTTGATGCCCATCCAAGACTTGTTTACAGTAATGTCAAATTCCTTCTAGTTTATAAAATACAAGGTGATATATGAAAAACGCGTAAAATTATTTCATCAATTATTTCGAAAACTATTGATATTTGAGACATAATTTAAATTTGAAAGTTTTATAGTTTTTTCTGCTCTACAACATGGCATAAACTTTGAATCCGACGTTTCGTCATCGAGCTGTCATCATCAACTTAATTTTTTTAAATACGAACCTGAATTTTTTATATCATTTTTAGAAAGGAAATGAAGGGCGCTTCCTAAAAATGACATAAAAAATCCAGGTCCGTATTTAAAAAAATGAAGTTGATGATGGTAGCTGGATCACAAAACGTCGGATTTAAAATTTGAAGATGCCATGATGTAGAGCAGAAAAAACTATAAAAGTTTCATATTTAAATTACATCTCGGAAATCAATAATTTCCGAAATAATTTAGGAAATATTTCTGCGAGTTTCTTAGAAATCACTCTATATTTCATTAACTTAAAGGAATTTGGCAACACTGTAAACGAGTCTTCAATGTGCATAAAAAAGGAAACTTTTTTCTAATTTAACCCACCCTGTAGCTATTACCGTTTCGGATATAGTAATAGTGGTATCACTTAAAATATACACCCTGTATATATTAAACAGGATTGGGCTAAGTGGTGATCCTTGTGCTAACCCCGTAGACACATTCTTTGGGCTTATTATTTCTCAATTTTTTTCCTTATGAACAATTGCCTATTGTTAAGTACTTCAAAAATCCAATTCTTTATAGTTCGATAGTTGGGTGGATTGCCATTTTTCCCATTTCCTCGTAGAGTTATTATTATATTCACGTGATCATATACCCCCTTTATGTCCAGGAATACGACTATGTAGTGTTTTAAGTTTCTTTGGATTTTCAATGTTAGAAAAGCTTAACATTCAAGGCATCCCTTTTCCCTTCTGAATCCGATTTGTAGAGTTGGTAATTTAAGTTCATTTTCGATTTGCCATTCTATTCTATTCTTAACAATACTCTTCAAGATCTTACATACACACGATTCTAGGGCGATCACCCTTATAGCTCTTTGCCTCCCTGCAGTTTGAGTTTTCTCTAAGGATCGGAAATATCATTGCTTTTTTCCAATGGTATGGAATTATACCCTTTTGTATACTTTTGTTATATACTTCAATCAAAATCTCTTTCCCACTTCATGGCATTTGTTTGAGCATTGTATATGGAATCCTATCCCATCTAGGAGCCGAATCTAGTTTTCTGTGTAATACAAACTCTAATTCTTCTGAAGTCACCCTTTTTGCCTCATTCTGCCTGGTTTGTTCTATCCCGAATTCAGGATCTATGTTTACCAGAAGGAGAATATCAATAATTTCCTCTGCTAGTACTCTTGGCAGCCCTTCCTTGGTTGGTTTTGATGTCATCCCTTTTGAAAATGTTTTTATCGTTTTCCATATTTCTGCAACCGGAGTGTTACGATTTAATTGATCACAGTACTTTTGGAAACTGACCCTTTTTTTCATCCTAAATTTCAATTTGGTTTTCGCTATGCAGCCTTTGGTGGTCAAAACATTTTCCATGGAATAGTTTTCGGTGAGCCTGTTTACGGCCTTATTCCTTTCATCCAGTAATTTCTCACACTCTAGATCCCATCAAGGTGTTACCTTTTTGTTGCTTTTCTGTCCTGTTTTTATTGGAATTGCTTCGTCCGCTGTGTCCTGGAGCGCTTTTCCTAGTTCACTGTAGGTTCTAACTTTTTTTTCTATACATGCTCTCATTATTCTCTCCTGGTATAATTGTCAATTTGCTTTTTTATAGTTCCTTTTGATTATCTTGTTGTTTGGGATTTCGAAACTTATTTTTCCAATGGTTATATTTATTATGAAATGGTCACTGTTTCCGCACAGTCTCCAATTATGTTTCAAGATATTTTTGTTGCCAAAAGGGAGGATCCGAATGAGGTGTCTGGGGCTAAGTTGTTTTGGTTCGGCGTAGTCATTCTTGTTGGATTTCCATTATTAAAAAATACTAAGGACGAGTCCATTACCATTTCCTGAATTATTTTTCCATTTCTGTTGGCTACTGAGCTTCCTCAAGTTGGATGTTGCCCATTGCAATCTCCTTTAATAAACATTGGATGCGGGATATTGTCAATTATTTTCTTCAGGGTTCGGGGATGGAATTATTGATGGAGGGAGAAATATACCTAGATATTAACTATTGTTAAATTATTATTAATTAGTCTAATTCCTTAAATTCGAATTTTTTCTGGAAGGTTTATGCTTGGTATTTCACATACCTACTCTAAATTTTCTTTGATAAGAAGAGCTATTCCACCCTTCCCATCCTGTCTATATCTTGAATATCTTATTTTTTAAGCTGAAACTTTTTTCAGCCATGTCTTATTTAGACCTATGATGTCGTTGGATTTTTTTTTCTTTTATTTTTCTGGTTATCCTTCTACTTCCTCCTCCTCCATTGGAGGAAACCTCTAATCCAATTTCGTTGTCATCTAGGTAGTTTTGAGATAATTGTAGATTAGCTGTTTTCATGGATCCTATCAATTTTATGCTTCTGTCTTCCGAAAAATCTTCATTGATTCTTTCATTCTTTCACTAGGGTTTTTATGGTGAAGTGTAATAGGCTGGAAGGAGAGTCTGGTGTTTTGGGGATACAGGCATTGATTATTATAGCGGCTTCATCATACCCTTTTTCTAATATATTTGCTGTTTTCTTTTTTTTTTGACAGAAATTCAACTGCTGTATATATGGGGCTTTTTTCTAATGTTTCTTTTCTTTTATTCTCCAAGTATATTTGCTTGTTCTGGCTCATCTGGGTGAAGTTTGGAGCTGGTCTGTTTTTTGGTGCAGGGAACTCGTTTTGTATTGGTCTGAATTCCGTATTTCTGTTAACTCTGGGGACCTTTTCGCTGACCTGGGAGAGTAGGATATGCTGTCCAATGGCATGTATTGCCTTATCTGGTGTTTGTCTAATGTACTCTGAATATTTTATATTGCCATTGCAAAAATGTTCCTCGCCGCAGTCGCTGCCCTCTTTGCACAGGCATCAGGTACATAAGCCTTCGTGTGCTTCTTTTGCGCATATTTGGCATTTTTTTTTCCCCCTGCATTGGATTTTATTATGTGCATAGTTAGGTTATTGTAATATTATTGTGTCACTGGTATTTTTTAGTTTTCTACCATCACTTTAAGACCGAATACCGTAATGAATCTATAGGTAGAAATTTTCCTTTAAATGTAAATAGACATGTTCTTGTTTTAATGTACCTATTCTGTTATTTTATTCCCGTTTGTTATTTTACGGTTGAACCTTTTAACATGCAATATTTCTGTTTGGACTTCTGATCCTTCAAATATTTCTTCTGGCTCGGCCTCTTTTAGGGCATTTCTCACTATTCCTTTAGATGTCACTAAATAATCTGGTATGTATATTATGTATCCTTTTTCCAATAGGAACTCATTTATTAGTAAATTATTTGCTGCTTCTGGTGTCTTAAATTCTGTAGTTATCTTGTTTTTTCCTTTTTTCATGGGTCCTCTGATCATAAATAAACTTTGCTATTGCCATATGGGGAGTCATTGTCCTGCTGGCCTTGAACTACCACCTGATGTCGACCCAATGAAGTTTTTCCATATTTGTGTGACACTTTATTTTCCCTGATTTGTTATTATTTTTTTTTGCTATTGTTCACTTTTTGATTATTCTCCTCATTTTCTTTATTTATACTTTTTTCATCTGGGGGTTCCTTAAAACCCCTCAAGTTGTCCCCCATGTGTGTACCTAACTTATTCGCAGGTTATTTCTATCCTGGTTGAAAATTAGGGGAAAAATTAAATTTTGATTAGGTACCTTATTAGGGAGCTCCCATAGCGATAGGAATAACGATCTCTATCCCTTACAGAGTTCCAGTTCAGGATTCCTATTTGCACTAAAACGTAAAGATTTACACAAATTGTTACTATGTATTACACCGAATGCAATTTATTAGTAAAAAAAATAAATAAAAAAACAAAAAATATTTCCTAGAAAAAATAAAACTCATTTTTCCTTCGACTAGATTTAAAAAAGATTCAGATTTCAAAAAGCCTTGCCAACATTATCTCATAATTTCCACTTCCTCATATTGCATTATAATTGGAAATTTCTTGCAGCTAATCCTTCTCTAATTAGTTTTCAGAAATTCCGAACACCTTGGCAACGCAGCGGCCACATTCCAGCCTCCTCAAGACCCAAGAAGAGACCCCGAGACCGAGAATCTCCGGGCTCTCCGGCACTCGGTAGCAGCCAGTGAACCTTTCCGCGCGGTACGACCCGAGAATCGCGGTACCACGATGTTTTACGCGATCGTTTTCGTTTCACTTCTGGCAAAATCCACCCTCGCGGAACCTTTACTAAGAACTTGCGAACCAATTCGGGTGGATTTATGCATGGGATTAGGGTATAATATGACGGGGATGCCCAATTTAGGGGGCAACGACGTCCAACAAGAGGCTGATTATAACTTAAAATCGTACTCGCCTCTGATCCAGTACGGGTGCAGTCAGCAGCTGAAGCTGTTTTTGTGTTCAGTTTATGTGCCGATGTGTACTGAGAAAGTCGCGAATCCTATTGGACCTTGTCGGGGACTTTGCGAAAGTGTTCGTTCCAGGTGTTATCCTGTTTTACAGGTAAATATTGCGATTATTTCAGGAAATGCTGTGTGAAATTGATACAAATTCAAGATAATTCTAGTTCAGAACTTCTCAAGATATTCCATAATTTCTACTTGCATAAAGACTTGCTCTAAGTATATTTTTTGTAATTCCCCAATACTTTTCTGAACTTCTTAATATCTTTATCCTTTTTTATTCTGCATTTTTTTGGTTGTAGGACGTAGATGAAAACATCCCAGACGATTCAACCCCCAGCAAATTTTGCATGAAAGTTTTTCTCTTATTCTATAATTATTTTCTATGCGTTTAACAAGAAAACAACCAAAATTGAAGCTTATGATCAAAACCTTTTCTGGGCGTATTTTTTGGTTGAAAGTTGAATTAAAATCCTTCCATTTGAAGCTAGTAATCAATATATCTTATCGTAGGAGTATTTTTGGTTCAAAATTGCTTCAAAAACTACAAAATTCAACCTAAAAGTGCTCTTTTCTGGCTTTTTGCCTTCAAAATATGGAAAAAAATATCAAAAATAGGCGTCAAAATGCAATTTCTAGATTTTTTCTACATTATTTTACTTCTTTTCAATTAAATTTTCCTTGTTCGAACTTTCTCCACATTTTTCAATAATTTCCCAGAACTCTTCAAATTTTTCTATACTTTCTCAATACATCCTTAGATTCTTTGTCCACAAACTTCTTTCATACTTTTTCTAGCATTTTTGTACTCTTTTAACTGAAAATAAAAACTTTTCAAGAGATTTTCATTCTACATTATCATTCTTTCCAAATTTTGCTTAAAAACAATTTGTGAATATTTCGCTTTACCTTGTTTTAGTCTTTCTCCAATTGTCTTGATAATTCTCCAAACCTTCTCCTGTTTTTCCAAATTTTCCCAGATTTTTCCTTGATATTTCTCTTACTTTTTCCACAAAATTCTTTATTACTTCCTCCACTTCCTCTTTACTATTTTGGTTGGTTGGTTTGTATTGTTGTATATATTTCTTTCCCAAATTTTGCATAAAAACATCCTCCACCATTTGATAAATATTTCCCATTTCCTTTGGTTTTTGATACTTTTCTCAAACATTTCCAACCAAATAATTAATTTTTATTTTTTGTTAAAATAGGGTTTCGGCTTTTCGTGGCCGGACGCCTTGAACTGCTCCCGGTTCCCGGTGGAAAACAACCACGAACACATGTGTATGGAGGGGCCCAAGGAAAAAGTCGACATTAGGGCTCCCGTGGAACCAGCCGTGAGGAAATTCGACTGTTCGCCTCACGGATTGAGAAACGGCCTTCCGGATTGCAATCCGAGCCCTTGCGGCGCCGATAATATGTTTGATGAGTCTGAAAAACGAATTGCTGAGGTAAGAATTTGAGATTATACACATTATTAGTTTAATTCATGACTGAATTTATTCACATTTGTAAATCCATGTGTTTGGAAAAAAAGCAGCGAAAGAATTGAAAAATGATGAAATTCGTCTTCCCTTAGCGAGTTGTCCATCTCTATCTCTGGAATTATAACTCCAAATAAGCTGAAATTGTCAGGATTTGTAGTCCTCTGTCTTCTACTACAATAAGATTCGCTGAAAATTTCAGTGAGATTTAAAACAGGAATATCTGAGAAAAGAAGCCGAAAAAAGTAGAAAATCATATTTCGTGTACAATATTTTTACAGAATAGAGACCCAGTTCTAGAGATACTAAAAACTGGTCTCGCTCAGTAGTGCCTTTTCTAGTAACTACTCGTCGTTATTATATATGAACAATGGCCAAATTGAGAGGCCTTTCATGTCATCGGAAAGATCCGAGAGACTGCGTATATATCGAGACAATAACGAGGCCATAATATCTGTACGTCTCTTGAATGTTAAAATAACGATGTGGTTATGTTGGTAAAAGTGTCTTTCTTGAAAGCAAATGGTTTGTTTTTTGAGTATGTAGTGAATTTTTTAACTATGTAATTGCTCAATTCTCTATTCTGTATTCACTAAGCAGAATTTTCTTGTTATTGACTATTGTAATGCTACATTTTTATTGTCCATATCCCCTTTTTGCATTCAACAAAATATTCATCATATTGCAAAAAAGTTCTTCGATTAACTGATGTGGAGATTTTAGATGTTTATAAGCATGCCACAAAAAATCTAGAATTTTATTAAATGTACTAACTGACAATTACTTCTTGATTGCCTCTATAAGAATTATCCAACCAATCAAGAGCCGATAATAGTCACAATTTGAACTAAAAGAGCTCATGATGCTTCTAGAAAAGTGAATCCGCGAACAGGGGCGGCGCGTCGGGGGGGCTCGAGCCTCCCCACTTTTTTGTAATACATGCAATTTTTTTCTTATACATAATTTCAAAAAAAATAGAGATTAAAAAAAAATCCTAAATTCCAGCTACCTCACAGGGCCGCCGCGACCATGTGTGCGGTGTGTTCAAAACACACAGGCGGCCGATTGGAAAGATTTGCCGCCGCCGATCCTGATGCAAAAAAAATCATGTGCATCGTCGTACACGTGCTAGAAGTGAAAACTATTAAAAACTATCCCCCTCCTCATATAACTTTTAGACCTCGGTATGAGTCGTGGTAAAGACGAAGGACCACACAAAAGGAAGACGCGCATCTCTAGTATAACGAAATTCCCCCAAAACGTGACGTTACATGACGCGTCTTTCAAATCACTCTCGATTCTCTTCCAAATATCAGTCAAGGCATACCACATTTCAAAATTTCATCGAGTTTGGCAGAAAACCAAAAACCCATGAGAGGTTTGCGGTGACCGTTGTATTGTATTCCTGCCTCTGATAACAATATCATAATATAAGCAAATAACACTTGAGTTGTCAAATTTCATTCCTTATTGGGATGGGATATCAAATAAATGTCAGCACCAGACGCACCCGAATTACAGCGGACCAAACTAATTAGGTTTTTGAAGTGAAACTTTTAGCCGGCGGTCTGATTTTTGGACGAGAATAGAGAGCGAGACGGAAAGTGATATGAAAGACGCGTCACGTTTTGGCAAATTTCGTTACACTGGAGAGAAGAAAGATGCAGCGTAGAGAGGCGGAGAAAGATAGCCAATGACAATGACAGCCAAAGAACGATTGACACAAACCAAGGATTATAAGCAAAGAGGATTGCTTATCATTCATATGCTAAGTCTCAAAGTTCGAAAATTGTATTCTATTCTAACGCTCTTGATTTTGTCCTTTAGAGGGGAGTGGGGCGGCCAAAATTGTCTGGGCACATAGGCGGCTAACACTCTAGCTAGTGAAAACCGCAATCCTATTATTTAACATAGTTTTCGAGAAAATCCTTTGTGAAGACAAATTTTGTTGGGACTTGTGACGTCACACCGGGAGGAAAATAAGTAATCCAAAAACAATTCCAGGTTTGCAAAACACAATTTTTTTTCTCTCTCTCTCAGGCCTATACGACTTATTATCCCCATGTAGCACTGAAGCCTGAGAAGGCTTATTGCTTATGCCAATCACTCTAGTATTTTGATGCCCTGTACAAGGTTGAACAGGTCTTTTACTGGGTTGTGTTTCATTATTGTTTCCAGGACTACGTTTGGTTGCCCGAAAATGCTATGTCTTCTGCGATCTAGAGCCTCGCACTACCAGGATATGTCTGGCTGTCTTGGGTTCCTTTATCGCAGAGTCTGCAGTTGAAGTTTTCCTCATATATACAAATTCATCCTGTTCAGTTCAGGTAGACCTTTACCGGTTTGTGGCCTGTCATGAGGCCTATTATAGTCCTTTGTCGGCTCCTACTCATTTGTAGCAGTTCTGAGGCCCGTTTTCTGCTTGCATGGTTAGTCGATGAGCTCCCTACCATAATTCTGCCTAGAAATTGTTTAGTAGTGTCGATGTTCTTTACGAACCCAGTCTTTGATGTAGCTTCTGGTCATACTTTTTGGTATTCCTAAAGCCGGCTCTGGCCCGATAAGTTTATAGTCTCTAATCCTCTCTTTGCGAGTTCGTCAGCTTTTTCGTTGCCTTCGATTCTTCTGTGTCCTAACACCCATATAAACTTTATTATGGGACCCTGCACTTCTATGCAGACGTCTAGCTATCATAAGCGATGCTAACGCTTTCTTGGTAGTGTTTTCCAGATGCTGATTCCAGGTAAGTTCTTAGTCCAGTGTTACCCCCAGGTACCTGACCTTGAAATCTGCATGTTTCCCCTTTAGTCTAAGTGGTTTCAGGTCTTGTATTTTGCGCCTTCGGGTGAATGTCACGATGGTGGATTTGTTGGGACTGATATTTAACCCTTCTTTATCCACCCATCTTTTTTGTTCGGTCTAGAGCATCTTGTATACGCTCCCTAACTGTAGAGTTGAATTTGCCCCGTGAGATGATAACTACGTCGTCAGCATATCCGAGGGCACGGTGTCCTCCGTCCGTGAGCACTTCAAGCAGACCGTCCATCACAAGATTCCACTGGAGCGGGGCGCTAGTGTTTTCTCTGCCACAGTGCTTTCTACCATTCTTCCTTTTAGCATATGGAGTTGATTCACACATAATAGGTGTCCACAACTCCTTCATGCTTAAGAGATTTGGTCATTGAGTCGGAAGAAGTGTTGTCAAAAGTTCTATCTATGTCGAAAAAGGAGCCTAGCATAACCTCCTTGTTTTCCTATGTGTCTGACCAGCTGGTGAAATGCGGTTTCTGCTGACATCCTTGTAGTGGTAGGCTTGCCAACACACCATCCCTAATCTTCTAATCCACAAATTTTTCCAGTGTTTTAAACTCAAATGACGTGAGACTAATGAGTCTTAGGGACTTTGCTGTGTGTTTATAGCCCATTTGACTTTCTCATAGTTGACCACTTTCTTTGAAGTCATCAGCCAGTCGTTCCTGGCGGTCTTTGAAACCTAAACTCATTCCATGTCCACTGACAGTGATCAACTATTGTTGAGTCAGGACAGTGGAAGTAACCGTGTCTTTCCTGGTACTGGTCTATCCACCAAAGTCGTTTTCGAATTTCGAATGTACTGATTGTTATCTTCGGACTTGTTGAGAGAGTTCTTTGTAGTCTAGCACAATCTATGTCCTCACAGTACTTCCTCCAAGTCCTCCTCATGGATCCTCTTAGCTCTTTCTTGAACTTGTTCAACGAGGTTTTATTTAATTTTATTCTAGCTATTCTCTGGTTCTTGTTCCACCAGGGCATAATCTTGGTGGATTTCCTTGTTATAAGTGGGGAGTTCTCATTAAAGGCTGAAATGATTAAATCATTTATCATTGAATTGATTCACAACCATCTCTCAATCTCCAGTACCTCTTATTGTCTTCCTGCGAAACACATTAATAAAAATTAAAAGTATTTCCATTACTAGCTATTGATTGCCTCAAGGATTGCCGCTATAAAAATTATCCAAAGAATCGAGAGCCGGTAGGGGGCAGGACTCTAAAGTGAGAGCTTCAGAACCAGCTTTCCAATAGATTGTAGATTGTGATGGCTGGGGTGTTGAGGTTATGGACCTTTCCGCACTGCGACCTGATTAGATTTATTGTGCTTCCCCTTATTTATCAGATTAAGGCTTTTGGCAAAGCCTATAATGTTCCTGGGATTGGTTTCCTTTACATCCACAGCCGTTAAGTAAGGCTACTCCAGATGATTTTTTTTTTTTTGGTGGGAAAGTCGACTGATTAAACTTCTAGTAGAATTGCAGCCGGAGGCTTATTGTGCTAGATCTTCCTGTTTAATGAACCCATTGCAAAACCCTGGCTCCCTGTAGTAGGCGAAGTAGAGGTCTGTTGGATGTTTGCCGTATGTGTCTGGATCTAATTCATCTTCTCCAAATATATTTCGTCTTCTGCGAGCTAGTGCATCGCATTCTGATATAATATGTTGGGCTGTTTCGGTTTCTGCTCCTCATGGTCTGCCGCTCGTGTCTCCGTTGTACTATTGCCCATTTTTTGCAGGTACGTGTTTCTTTACTGGGGCATGCCCAGTAAGAAAAGCCGGTTGCTACTCTGAGTTGATTCCCGCTTAGTTGTAGCAGTCTTTTAAACTCTTTTGCTGAAATTTTCCCATGTGCATGCTTGGCTATTTGCTTCCAGTATCGAGCATGTTTTGCTTTCTCACTGTGCTATTGGGCACTCCGAGAGCTGGTTCGGGACCAAGCTTTCTGCGTGCAAGTCCATCGGCTTTTTCGTTGCCTCGGATACCTCTATGTCCTGGCACCCACATCAATGTGACGTTATTTTGGTCCGCCAAGTTGTTGAGTTCTTCGCGGCATTCTATTACCAGTGCAGAGTTTGCCTTAGCCTCCAATGCCCCCAATGCTATACCTTACAGTCTCTGAGTAAAGTGAGTATCCTGTCTTTGCAGGGCCTCATATT